AGGCATGTGGGGCAGGCCCCAGTGGGATCCGCAGCCCCTGACTCTGAGCCTTGCAGGGCCCGGCCGGGAAGGACGGGCTGCCCGGACACCCAGGACAGCGCGGGGAGCCGGTGAGTGGCCCCCCCCACGCCCTGTTGCCCCCCAAGTGGGACCCGGCTGCAGGGGCTGCCGGACACTCACCCCCGTCTCTCCGCAGGGATACCACGGCAAGACCGGCCCCCCCGGCCCCACGGGGGTGGTGGGACCCCAGGTGAGTGAGCCCTGCGCCCCTTGGCCCCATGCCCGCCCTGGCCCCGCACCTTGGGAGCTTGGGTCTGTCTTCCTGTCAATGGCCTGTGATGGCCCCCCCCTCTCTCCATGGGGGGGCCTTGCTGGGCTGGGGGGCGGCGCAGTCAGCAGGCGTGTCCTGTGGGGGGCGCCCTGCTCCCCCTCTGTGCCCGCGGGGTACAGCTGGCCAAGCCAGGCCCCCCAGGCCTTGGGGGGCGGCAGGGCTGACGTGGGCCCCTCGCTGAGCTGCCTGGGGCGTCTGCTGCAGGTTCGACCCCCGCCCCCGGCTGCTGTGGGGGTGGGGCTGCTTCTTCTCTTGCAGGGCCCAGCAAGCCCCCCATTGGATCCAGCCCACCCTGCCCCACCTCACTGTTGCCCCTTCTCTGCCCCTCAGGGTAGCTCGGGCGAGACGGGCCCCATTGGAGAGCGGGGGCATCCGGGCCCCCCTGGCCCCCCTGGGGAGCAGGGGCTGCCAGGGGCTGCCGGCCGGGAAGGGGCCAAGGTAAGTGCTGTGCTGGAGGCCGGGGGAGCAGGGGCTGTGTGGGCACGCACCCCCAGTTCCTGCTTGGGCAGCACGGCAAGCAGAGCTGACCCGGGGCTGGGAGCCCGGACGCCTGGGTTCTCTGTCCGGCTCTGGGCGGGGAGTGGGTGGGTCCGATGCTCTGCTTACGTACAACATAAAAAGGAGGAAAAATCCACGTTGTCACAGTGTGGTCTAGTGGTTAGAGCGGGGGAGGTGGGGGAGCCCGGACTCCTGGGTCCTACCCTTAGCTCTGCCCGGGCTGACTGTGTACCTGGGGAAGAGATTAATAGGATCCCATCCAGCCTGCTGTGCCCCCAGCCCTAGGACAGCCCCCGCTTAGTGCCTGTTTACCCTAGAGAAGGTCTCAGAACCTCCCACCCTGGTAAATGCAGAGGGGCCGTGTGACAAAGTGGGGTTTTATTCATCTTGGGGACCCCTCAGCAAGGCAAGTTGGACAGGGAAAAATACATCCTGGTGGTGGTAGATTTCGCTACTCACTGTCCCATGGCGTTGGCCTTGTCCTCTAGCGAGGCAGACACCGTGGCAGATGCGCTGCTGAGCGTTTTCTGCAGAGCGGGGTTCCCCAAGTCGGTCCTTATGGACCAGGGCTCCAATTTCATGTCAACTCTGTTCCGGTGCTCGTGGGAGAAGCGTGGGGTCCGACACACACCACGTTGTCACAGAGTCCCCGGGCGATGCTCTGGGGCTGCTCCCTACAAAGCCAGGCGGGCTCCTGGGGAAGCCAGAGGGTCCTGCCCCCCAACTCCGCAGTCAGACGTGACTCTCAGCCAGCGTAAAACAGAGGGTTTATTCGTCTGCAGGATCACAGCGTAGAACAGAGCTTGTTAGCACAGACATCAGTGACTTTCAGCCAAGTCCATCTTGGGAGTTCTGGGCCAGACGCTCTGGATTCCCCCCACGCAGACTGCCAGTCTCCAGCCACGTGACCTCCCTCCGACACCCCCCTTCATGCCCCTCCTCCTTCTCTTTGTCTCACTTCCCGGGCCAAAGGTGTCAGCTGGTCACACACCCTTCCTGGGTCTCAGGTTACACAAAAAGAACAGGAGTACTTGTGGCACCTTAGAGACTAACACATTTATTAGAGCATAAGCTTTCGTGGGCTACTGCCCACTTCTTCAGATGCATATAGAGTTGGACATATATTGAGGAGATATATACACACACATACAGAGAGCATGAACAGGTGGGAGTTGTCTTACCAACTCTGAGAGGCCAATTAAGTAAGAGAAAAACATTTTTTTGCAGTGATAATCAAGATAGCCCAGTACAGACAGTTAAGAAGTGTGAGAGTACTTACAAGGGGAGATAGAGTCAATGTTTGTAATGGCTCAGCCATTCCCAGTCCTTATTCAATCCTGAGTTGATTGTG